CATTTATTGTATAATTAGCAAATGTTGTCAAATTTCATTTCTTGTAAATAAAATTAAACTTTGCAAAGACATATAAAACAGCCACCAGGGCGCACCAGTGTAATTCCAATTGCATGTTATAGAGTAATCAATTGGGATCTTAGTGCCTTTGTCTCAATGTGCACTTTTGCGCACAACCGGCGCAAATCAATTTTTAGCAGGTGACTATGAGCTGACCTGTGTGATATTTGGCTCAATGAAAAAGGCAACTCTAACCAAGAAATAGTAATTGTGATTTTGAAACTAAATAAGACTAATATTGATTCAACTTATAAATGATATTAAAAAAGCAAAAGCCGCTTTTTTTGCCAAAATATAAATTACAAATGGAAGAAATGCAGCAGGAACAAAAACTAGCTGACAACTATGAATGACTGCCTATGACAGCAAATGTTTATAAAAATAATTGTTCATTTGAGGCAGATTATGGAAAGTACTGTTCATCCTGTAGGCTTTTTTGGTAAGGAAGCGTCTGATTTGCCCAACCAGGTCTATAAATCAGACTAATTTCATCATGCATGAGAGCATGAGAGCAGAATCCATAATTTCGCTGATGGTTTTTAACAATGGATACATCTGATCAGATTATTTCTTCGGCAAATCTTTAGAAAAGAGTTTGAAAGCATAAAGGTCGCTGTCTAATGAAGTTGTACGTATTGTATTATGTAAAGTTGAAGGCACAATTAAATCAGTTGAAGAACCCGAATTTTTTTAGCGGATCAATATTTCTGGCTGATTTGGAACTCGAAACTGAAGAAAACTAATTTCGATTTTATGAAAGTTCGATTGTTTTCAATTAAAATTATTATTTTAAAGTATGAACAAGCAAAATTCTTAAAAAAAAAAAAAAATTTTTAATACAAAATTTTAATAAATTTTTTTTGGGTGGGCGGTGACACGCCCATTTTTCTAAAATATATTTCTGATGGTATACATATTAATAATACAAAAACCGGATCAAAAAATCTGGCTTAGTTTTTAAGTTATTAATTAATACCCGATAATTTGGATTTTTCCCCATAGTGCAGTGGCGGCAACAGCATGTGATTGTATTGGTGTGGGAGAGTAGTGCACTCATTAAGAGGCAAGCTCTCGGGACTTCTCCTTGAGTGTGCGTGTCTGCATACATGTGCACTATATTGTTGTGTGTTATATTTGTTTATGTTTACAACGAGCGAATGAGCGAGCTCAGCGAACAGAGGATGCGCGCGCTCCTAGCCACCTGCTATTCTAAGTGGTTAACATTGTGAGCGAGATGGCGCGCGGCGAATTCAAAGGCAGAGCAAGCGCGAGAGCGAATATTCAGCTCTAGACGGCGAAATATTAATGATAATTACATTAGGTGCATAACATAATTATGCTAATAGGCATTCCAATCAAGCGCCTCAAAGTGGATAACAATTGTTGACCTAAAAATACGAATATTGGTAATTTTAAGTATGTGTGTGTGTCTGTGTGTGTATATGTGCGTGTGCGTGCGAATATTAATTAGCTGTAAATTACAATAGGCATTCTTCTAATTATTGCCCACACATAAGAACATGCTTCGAATCGCAGGCGCAGCCACAATACAACTCTCACAAACACACACACATTTATATATGTATACGTCTGTATATGTGCAGTAGTTGACTTGACTGCTGTTACTGCGATTGCATAAAAGCCAAAGGACGCTGCCTGCACTCCCGCAGTCGCTGGCCAAACGCGCACTTCGAAAGTCCACTTTTTTTTAGTTGGCTCTAGCGCCATCTATCGTGCATTATCCAAAATAGGATTCTACATTTTGCGTGTGTTGAGGCAAAGTGTTTTTGTTCAGTTTTTTTTTTGTGCTTTGTGATTGACATCGAATAGTGGAAGGAAACAAATTATTTAAAATTCTAAAAAAGCAAATCAAAACGAAAAATACGAAAGTTTTAAATTATTCACTTTAATGGCTGGGCCATTCATATCGCCGCTCCCGGGCGATCTGCTCACGGAGTACATGTTCGGCCGGAGGCGCCAGCGACGTAATCGGACCACATTCACGCCACAGCAACTGCAGGAACTAGAGGCCCTATTCCAGAAGACTCACTATCCGGACGTCTTTCTGCGCGAGGAAGTTGCGCTGCGCATCAGCCTCAGCGAGGCACGCGTCCAGGTGAATCATTGCTGCCGCCAGCTATGCCACGATGCTTCCCTCGCCGAATGTACAAATATTGTTCATTTCTGAGGATCATTCGGCACATAAACGGCATATATCAAAGCGTAATAGAACTTTTCCCCTCTTTCTTAAGTATTATTCAAATTGATTGAGGTTTTTTTTAAATTTCTCAATTCCTGATGAGCAGTGAAACAAATTTTATTTTAGCTAAGATCTCAATGGAATATGTTTCTTGGCATAAGAATATTTAATATATAGGATAGGTCAACTCCATTTGATAATACTTGGTAAATGAAAATACCTTTTTTTTCAGTAAATAATACTATATGAGAGATGAGCTACTTTTAGTTTTTAAAGAAATTTATAAGCTCTTTGACTGAATAAATAACATATTTATGGATATCTATATATCTATATATATATATATGAAGAAATTCTGTTTCTAATTGGAGTAGCATATTATATAACATGAAAGGAGAGAGATATCCATAAATATGTTATTTATTCAGTCAAAGGAAAGAGATATCCATAAATATGTTATTTATTCAGTAAAAGAGCTTATAAATTTCTAGTTAGTTTCTACATAGTTAAAATAGATCTACGATAATAAATTACATATGAGATTATTTTTATTTGAACAGCAAGAATATTAAAATATTAAGAGAGGTGTAGATATAGTCAAGTTCGTGCATTTGTCTAAATCTATTCAGTCATAACTTTATATAATTGTAATTACAGTTAAATTCTATAAATAATGTGGTTCTTGAAGAAATTGTATTAAATGGGAAAGGTATCAGTTAATCAATTAATCAGTTTATATATTTATGTAAATCATATAGAGCCAACACTTTTAATACTTTACTACTTTTTACCTTATCAAAGTGATATCTATATGTCTTCCATCCATATCTGGCTTCCGTTCGAGTTTATTGACTTTTGTCTTTTGACTTGCAGGTGTGGTTCCAGAATAGGCGCGCCAAGTGGCGCAAGCAGGCGCGTCTACAGCTGCTGCAAGATGCCTGGCGGATGCGCTGCCTCAGTCTGGGCACTCCTCCCGTTATAGGCGGAGGCGGAGGCAGCGCCTCGAATAGGCCAGCCAATGGCACAGCGGCCAACGGCGGCAATGGCAACAGTCAAATGCCAGAGAACTTGTCTGCTGGCAATACACCAGGCAATAAGGATGCCATGATCAATAGTGATGTGGGCGGCACTGATGTGCCAGCTGCACTGGCCAATGGGCAGGGCGCTAGCAACTTTACCATGATGCATCCAGCTTTCCAACAGCAACAGCAGCAGCCAACGCACTCCCAGTCCGAGCACGAGAAGCTATCGAAAACCTATACGGAACTGAAGCTCTACAAGGAGCCGACAGGGCATGGTGTCGCCGAACTGGATCTGGGTGGCATGTCTGCCCTTGGCCCGACCTCCGATGAGGGCTCTGATGGCTCTGATTCTGAAGAAATTGATCTAACATCGGGTGCCTGCATAGATTTCTCTCAGAGCAGCAAATTGCAACAGCAACAGCAACAGCAACAGCAGCAGCAGCAACAACAGCAACTGCAGGCAGCAGCTTTGGCGGCGTCACAGCCGCAAACCTCAAATGGCGTGCACTAGACCTGAGGGTGTATATAGCGAACAATAAATGATGCATGTAATGTTAATGTGCATTTGAGTTTATTAATTTCCCCTTTTTTTTTTTTTTTTTTCTTTTATTCAAGAATTGCAGACACAATTAAAACCTATATATAGACTATCGCTTAAGGTATTCTTTTCATTTTTAAATTTAAATTTAAATCGAGCTATTGTTGTATATCGATATCAATTAATTGATATCGCGGAGGCTGTTATTTTCGTAACAGCTCACGGAATTTGACAGTGCGGTCGCTGCTCAAAAAAGTACATGAACTTTTTATTATTCTAGCAAAAACTTTGAGTGAATTATATCTTAAGTCCTATTTGACGGAGAGTAAGAATATTTTAATTGGGTAAGTACCAAGTTCCAGTTTCCCTTTCCACATGAGTAAAGGGATATACCAGCTTGCTAATGGATGTATCAATGATATATCTTCTATGAGATGAATAAATAAAATAATCTGCTCTGTGAAAACTGCTATATTATTCAAATCTAAAATATATACGATATACGAATTTTCTCGAATATCATAGTCAGGTTAAATTTACGAATCATTTATTAATATACATTGTAAACTTTGCTTACGGCAACGCAAAGGCAGTCATCAGAGTCAAGTATATATTTAATTGAATACATACATATTTAAGAAGCGCATTTCTAGTTAACAATTTGGCATTGTTTTCACATTTTTCTCAAATATTTTCAAGCCGAACATATATAAGAAAAATGTCAAAGCTAAAGACAACAAAATTATAAATTATAAAAGTTGAGCTTGAATATATTTTTACGCATTTAATAATTTAATATCATATTTAACAAATTAGAATATTTTAAATTCAATTTCTATATATTGCGCAATGCATCTGGCGGCACAACTTATAGTAAGTCAATCGTCGTGATAACGGTTTTTTACCATACGACTCTTTGTGTATCGATATCCAATAACATTTTGACGATAGTCCGCAGCTAGTTGACACTAATTTCCAGAAACTACTCAATTGGTGCTGTTAATCTAGTATTTTAAATATTTAAACATGTAATAATCTTGCGTTAATCAACGGAAATCGGAATTATACATGGTTATGCGATAATTACCGACAATAATTCTCCCAAAAAAAACTCGATGCAATTATAAACTCCACAGTAAAATTTATTTTTGTCGCCCGAGATATTAATATCAATGTTAAGTGTTTTTAATTTTGTTTAATAAGTATCATTTCAACATATTATATATAATTGTATGTAGTTCTCTCCTCGCTTAACGTCTAATACATAAATAATTTAAAACTTACTTAACTATAAATTGTTTCAATCGTATCCGATTTCGACTCTCCACATAAAAGAAAAAAAAAAAAACACATTTTGAAATGCAAATAAAAAATACTTTTGAATAATTTCAATTAAATCGAATCGAATTTCAATTGAATCGAAACAAAGCTTCACAATTCACGAGCAAATTGCTTACAATAATTTACATTTAACATATAATTTAATTTAAGTTCGTTCAAATATTAACACAGGGCAAAATGAAAAATCCGAATATCATAATTATAAACAATACGCACAGAAAATGTCAACATAATTTTGTTGGGCCTTGTAGTAGTGGTCATTTGTGTTCGAAAAAAAATCATCTTAAATACTAAGAGTTGTTACTGTATGTGTAAATATAATGCTAAAAAATACAATAAGAAAGCACTTGAATTTCTCTAATGACAAAGGCAACTTGGTGTTCGTCTTGTTTCTATTTTACATATCTCCTCTCTCCCTCTCACTCTCGCTTGGAACAGCCTCTCTTTCCATCGGTCTGTGTTCTTGCCCGACAATAAGCTGCCTGCTGCATAAAAATGTTTGGCTTCTGCTGCAGTTAACCGCTGCAAAAGAAATGTAAAAAAAAAGAAATTAATATTCTGTAATAAACAAGAGGATTTTGTTTGTGTGTATGTGTGTGTGTGTGTGGAAGAACACGCTAAATGCTTTGTACAACATTTAAACTTAGGATAGCAGTATGAAGTGAGAGGGAGTATTGGAAAGATCAGCGTTAGACAGAGACAGATATGCGTGCAAGGGTAATCGACTGGAAATCCCTGAAGCACCAATTGAAACAGTTACAGATGACGACAGACGAAAGCTCATTTCTCTTACTCATTGTTTTTGTTGTTTCTGCTAATTTTTCTGTTGTTGCTGCTGCTGTTGTAGTTGTTGCTTTTGCTGTTTGTTGTTGCTTGCTATTGTTGTATTTGCTGTTTGTTGCTGCGGATGGAGGCGCCTGCGGCTGCTGCTGCTGATCTCAGGGGTTCTCAGGGGGATTATTGTTGTTGTTGCTGATCTTGATTTTAGCTGTTCGTGTGTCTTTAGTGCATTATGAGTTTTGTTGTTGTTGCTTGCTTGGCTTGCATTTGTTAGGTGTGCGTGCAACTGCATGCCGAAAGTTCGCAGCACTTACTTTAAAAAGTCATTCATATTGATGTAATTTTTATAACTAAATAAAGAGAAATACATAAATGTAGAAATTGGCATCTTAAAAACAAAAAAATAAACAAACAAACAAACAATAAACTAAAACTAAGCAAATATACATAAATAAACATCAATAGACATTAAGCAGAGTACAATTGGTGGACATGCAGCGGAGTGAGGTGGCGGTGGAAGTGGTGGTGATGTGGTTGTGGTTGTGGTGTAGGTGGCATAACAAAGCAAACAGAACAGAAAACAGGGAGAAGCATAGACAGTAACAAAGTGGAGCAAGAGCACGAAAGGCAGTGTGTGTATGGTTAAAGCGTGAGCTCCATGTGAAGAGAGTAATGCCCACATATACATACATACATATATATATATATATGTATACACTTGCTTGTACCTTTTGGCCGATGTGGTTCGCGAGTAGGGATTCTGCAAGATCTTCGGGTGCGTCTCCATGACGCGCAACAGCAAATTATCCAAATAATCCTCCAGCTCCTTGACGCGCTGCCGCTGCAGCAAAGCCTCATTCTCCATGCCATTGGCAATGAGCATCAGCTCCTGCAACAGAAGGAGCAAGAGAGAGAGAGAGGGATAGTCAGCAATGAGAGCAAACAAAAGCGATTCGAGTCGAGACCCACTCACCTCCCGTGACTTGCCCTCGTATTTTTTGGCCAACTGTGCCGAGATCTCGGAACGGCGATCCGCATGCGAGCCCGACTTCTCGTGGCCAATGATAATGCGCTCCGTGGACTTGGGACTGGGCGAATTGCTATCCGTATCATTTTGTTTGTCTGTAAAGGAAAAGGCAACAACAACAACAACAAAAAATGAGTTAACAATCAAATTCAGACATCGGCTGCCGGAGATGCAAAGAAGAGTGTGAGCTACATCGAACCAATTTTACGTGCTCTTTTGGTAACTCTAATCAGAGTGCGATAGCAGTCCATTACGAACACTTCCATCTGGTTCGAGCTTGAGAGGGAATTCAAACAGTTCGTGCGGCACTGGCAGCTCGCAGCAGAACCAACGAAATATTACAGAAAACAACAAAGAAACAAACAAACAGAAAAGGAAAGAAGAGAAGATATATATATAGATATATATATATATATATATATGTATATATATATTAGGAGTTAGAGACAATGCACACAGCAGGAGAAGTTGATAGTGTGAGAAATTTGATGAGGAATGCGTAGGTAAATCAATATTGAAATTTCAATAGGATGACACAGAGATGACAGCTGAGTTGGAAAATTGCTTGGATCGATTTGCTTGGCTCGATTGTCGGTGCCGACTCCGCCACACTCTCCGCTCTTGCATCGCCGGACAGTTTATAAATGCGGGGTACACAAGATCTGATTGAGGTGTGACTAGTTGGTGGATTAGTTTGGTTCAGTTTGTGGTTCGGTTTTCGGTATTTCTGGACAGGTTTGCTGCTCGCTTAATTCTCAGTACGGTTTGTTTTTACTGCTTTTCGTTTTTTGCTGTGTTTGCAGCTCAAACTGTGGTATCTTTTGGGTAGAACCGCTCACCTCGCTTATTGCCGTATTTAAATTTGCCCAGTCGCTTCTCCCAGCGCTCGCCGCTGCCGCTGCCGCTGCCGGCGCCTCCGCCGCTTCCTCCGCCAATGTTGTTGAACTCCTTGGGCGATTGCTCGGGCGTTAACAAGTTGTGCTCTATGCTTGGATCAACATCGGCCATTGCCGCCGCAACGGCAATAGCAACGGGCGCAGCAACGGCCGTGGTTTGCTCCTCCTCCTCCTCCTCCTCCTTCTGGCCAAATGCCTGCCTCGGTGATAGCGGCTTTGATGGCTGCTCCTCCATGGAGGTGGAGCGCTTGGCAAAGCTCAAGAGTCTTTGATCCTCCTCACGCCGTTTGGCCTCACGTCGCCGCTGCTCCTCCTGCTGCAGCTCCAGCTCCTGCTGCAACGCCGCCTCCTCTTCGCGCAGCCGCTGCTCGTTCAAGCGCAGCTCGGCCTCTAGACGCTCGTCCTCGGCGGCGCGTCGCTGGCGCGAGGCTTCCTCCTCGGCGGCAGCCTCGGCCATTGCCAGCGCCGCCGTCTCTGCCTTCAGCTGCTCGAGATTTGTTGCACGCGGCTGCGGCTTGGGGCGCTCACTTGGCAACGGCTGCGGCTCTGCCGGAGGTGGCCTAGTCGGCGGCTCGGGGGGCAGCTGCTCATCCGCAAAGATAGCTGTGCTGTTGCGCTGCTCGAACTTGGCGAAGCTAGCATTGAGCGCATCAAAGTTGCGTGGCTCCACGTTCGGGGAGAAGAGCGAGCTGCTCTCGCTCTTGCTGCTGCTCTCATCGGATGGGCGGGGCGGCGCCGCTGCCTTTGGCGGCTCCTCCTCCACCGTCTCAAAATCTTCTTCTTCATCCGATGAGCTCGACGAGCTGCTTGAGGAGGGAACCGGTGGCGGCTCCTCGCTGGTTGCCGGCAGCGGCACGCGTGTCTCCCAGCTGCGACGCTTCAGGGAGTCACTGCTGCCGATCTCCAAATACTTTCCGCCACCATACAACTTGGACTCCCACTCATCCACCTGGCTGGGAGCCGCCGACTGTGCTGGCGTCGGCTCCACTGGCATTTGGGCATTGCCCTCGGGCTTCAGCTCCATCTGCTCCCGCTCCAACAGCTCCAGCTCCTGCTGTGTCTGCTGCGTGCGTGGCGGCTTTGAGGGAGGTGGCAGAGTGCGTGCACGAACGCTGAAATCGAGCTCAAGCTGTTCCATCTCCGCAACGATGGGATCCTCATCGACTGTCTCTTGCAATTTGGGCTTACCTCCGTTGAGTTTCCCCTTGGCAATGCTGCCTCCGTTGCTCAGCAGCGGCGATGGGTTGCGCGGCGTGAAATTGTTATTGCCATTGGACGAGGGCGGCTGCAGGCCGGAGCGCTGGATGTTCAGTGAGCTGCCCGAGCTCTTGTGGGACAGATTGTCGAACACAAACTCGTCCTCGTCCTCGCTAATGACGCCTGGATCGGCCTCACCGGCGCGCTGGCCGCGCCTCCGTCCGCTGCCACCGCCAACGCCGCCCAGACCCGACGAGCTGTTTGGCGTCCCAATGCTGGCAAAGGAGCCGCTGAACGAGCCGCTGTCATCGCCGTCCGCTTGCTTCTTCTTGCTGCGTATGTGCAGCTTGGAGCTGAGAGACCCAGCTAGCTTCTTGATGCTCTTGCGCTTCTCGCCTTGGCCAATGGAGAGCAGGCTGCCGCCCACGGAGCTGGCCAGCTGGCCAATGGAAGACTTGTGCTTGTCCTTCTTGCTCAGATCTGTCAGCGATCCGGATTTAACAACGAACGCGATGCGCACCTCCAGCTCCCCGCGCTCCTTGTTCTTCTTCTCCTTGCCGGGCTTGCTCTCCAGCTTGCACCACTTGGCGCGCGGCCTATCATAGACGTCCATGTCCTTGAGCGGCAGCGTCGCCTGGCCCAAGAACTCATCGATGCCCAGATTGTTGCGATGCAGGCATGTCAGCGTTAGCTCCGCCCGATTGCCCTGATCCGGAATTTTGCTAGAAACGAGATGCCGCATTAATACATATGCAACAATTTACAAGCACACACACTCACAGTTCGCACTCCTCATTCCAGTTCACACTCGACTCGGCCTTCTCCTTGACGGACGTCTGGTACTTCTCCTTACCCAGGGCAATTGTGACAAAGCAATTGTTGGTGCCATTCTTGCCTTTGGTCAGAAGACCTCGCGCACGCTGAACTGTAAATGAAAGAGATAGACGAGTTAGACGCAATGCCATGAGAATCACATAGAAAGGCGGAACGTAATATAAGGGGTTATGCTAAGGGAGTTACAGAGAGGGACAATAACGAATATAAAATTTTGAGTCAAACTTAAATTCAAATAATATCAAGCATTGTTCCTACTCAAAGAGAAGCCAAAGACCATCAAGAACGCCCCACGATCTAAATAAATCTTATAAAGTCTTAGATTTCAGAGAGTGTAAATGAATACTAGAGAATTGATTGAATTTTTAATGAAATAGTCAGAAATAATAAATAGAAATTGAAATCAAAGCGAGATTCTTTCCTAATCAATTTGCAAAGAAGCTGAAATCATGTACAAATTAAGTAAAGTTGAAACAAGTATTATTTATACACGCTGAAAGTATTTTTAAACAATTTAGTGAGTTGATGATCCGGTGCGTCGCACTTTAAGAAAGTTCAGTCCTATTATCAGCTGTCACCAGGCTGCGCCGGCCAATGTCTTAATTTTGATTTGTCCGCCTACATTTCCGGCAGCTGTGTCAACAGCTCCAACGACGACATTAAGGTCTCGGGAGCGTCGCCAAAAAATAAAAATGCACAATTTAAAAATCGCATGGATGGAATGAATGAGTCAGTTCTTGCTTTATAGCAACCAACGTACCGGATGGACGGACGGACGAGCGGGCGGATTGCGCTGCTGTTGCTTTTTGATAGCGACCTAAAAGCAAATTTTGAAGTCGCTTCGAGTTTCACTTGAAAGCGCCTCGTGACCTCGACGAATCCAAAACTAAAACCAAAGTCATAGCCAGCATAGCTTGAGAGCATCCGGCTGATATGAAAACCGCAAAAAATAAAAACTAAAGCAAAACATTTGCTTTCGGTATTTGTGGTGCGCAGAAAGTCGCAGCATTGTTTTAGACTCATGACGCTCGAATCGGTTCCAGTCCAGTTACATATATGCATAGGCAATGGAGGAGACTCCATTTCACAGCTCTACTTCGAGGTACATAAATATTCAGATATCCATGCATCAGGAATATCAAGGGGAACTCAAAAACCTGAGCAACCTCATTACGAAAAATTGCATAATTTCGTATAAGTTTGCAGCTTTATGAATATGTAATATGTGTGTATGTAAATGAAATAAAATAGATAGTTTTTCATTTCAATTTATAAATTTAATTTACTTATTTATTCATTATTATAATTTGTTTTTAAAATTTATTTTTAATATTTAATTATTATTTTATTAAATTATTTCTTTTTTTTTTTTTTTTTTTTTTTTTTTTAACTCTATGACTTAAGGATTACATATTTTTGCAATTTGTTTTCATTTGCTTAAAATTTCAATTTTGTTGCATTTTAACTAATCGATTTGCAATGACTTTTGCTTATTGATTGTTACATCGCTATTCAAATGTGCTTGGCGCAAAAATACCGTTAGCGCAACGCAAATTGCGCAAATTTGAAACTCGTAACAACAACAACAACAACAACAACAACAACATCAGCTAACTGCAAAAGCAATCGCACGGCGGTAAGTAAAAAGCGTTCAATAGAAAAGCAACGAAAACATTTTGCTAGTTTTTTCCCGCTGTTTTCTTTTTCTCTTGCAAATTTGTTTGCCTTTTTATTTACGGTTTCGTTCATTGCAAGTGAAAGAGGTGATGGTGGCAGAGTCATTCGTTGCCTTTTACCCACTGTGGGCGTCTTGACGCCAAATAATTATTATTACATTAACATTTTTTCGCTTTGCACGTTCTGTTTTAGACCTGCATTTATCACTTGTTGCGGTTGTGGCTTTTCTTAAGCCAATTGGGGAACCTTTAGCGACGGACATTAACAGTTTCGCAGTCCACACACACAAACACACATATATATATGCAAACATAACATATGTAAATACACACACAAACATATCTGCGCAAAAAATGAGGCTAGAAACAGCCGGGAATGGCACACAGTGAAGAGCAATAGATGAATTGATGATCACACAGAATGTATCCAATGAATATCGATAAACCGGTTTCAGTGCAATTAAAAAAAAAAAGAAGAAGAGAACTAGAGATGGGCGCGCATTACAGTTTCACGCCATTTGTATTGTAAGCGTTATTATTGCTAGACTAAGAATTAAGGCTAAATTAATATCTACTTATGAATTTAATTGTTGACTGATGAGTTTATTCAAATACCCACAATAAGTATTCAATCATCGAACGTTTCTTTATTTCCCCGCGAATTATCGCTGGAGGGTTGGGGACTATATGTAAATGGCAGCCACCAAAATAGAAATGGCAAAAGGTAAAATGGTAAATGTCAAATGGTAAAATTTGCCAAACAATGACAAAAACAAAACACATTGAGTAGAACGCGAAGAGCGCAAAGAGCAGAGAGTGACAAAATTACAGAGAGCGCGCAGCTAGCAGTAAGGGAAACCGTTAAGTCGCCCCGTTTTATTTGTTCGCTCGCTTCACACGGCACTCAAATTGCGGCTTTCGTTAGCTCTGGCTCTGGCTCTGGCTGTGGCATTCGGCATTCGGCATCATTTTCGCTTTTTGAGTCACGCTTTACAGCCGAATGGCCTGTTCGTTCGCTCAATCTTCGATCTTTTATAGTGCGCCATTCCAAACATGTGTTAGTGTGTGTATGTGTGTGTGTGCCAAATCAACACCCAGAGCATTCTGTGCACTTAATGACATTCGATTTGTTAATGAAGATGATTGAGGGAGGGGAGGAATACCGAGGTCAGCGGCGGGAGTGAGAGCCATAAGCGGCGCTACAAAAGCGTTCAACACGTAATTGAGTGCTTGTTGAGAGCAAACAGAAGCCCAAGCAAGCCACACGTTAGCGTCATCAATGAATTGTAGGCAAATAGACAAACAAACACACCCACACACACAATACAATGCCTGTGTGAGACAGAGAAACAGAAAGAGAGAGCGCGAGAGAGAGGGGGAGCTGTGATGAAAGCAGGTGGATAGATAGTCGGTGCTCATTGTCATACGAGTCAACAGACTCGATGCTACAAAAAAAAAAACAAAAAATAGTGAATGCTTACACACACACACTCATGCATATTTACATATGTGCAAATACACATATACATACGTACACCCACTTACATATGTAGAGGTTATAAAAAGCGCTTAAAAATGAAATTTTGTATGCAAAACAACATTAATTTGTAGCTGGAAAAAAAATGTAATTATGTTTTCATTTTTATACCCTGAACCCATTGAAAATGGGAAATCAGGGTATAATGGTTTTGGTAAAAGTATGTAACAGGCAGAAGGAGGCGTGGCAGACCCCACAAAGTATATATATATTCTTGATCAGGGCGACGAGCTGAGTCGATTTGGCCCTGTCCGTCTGTCTGTCCGTCCGTCCGTATGTATGAACGCGTCAATCTCAGAAGATATAAGAGTTAGAGACTTGAAATCCTAGGTCCGTGTATATCACGCGCATATCAAGTTTTTCTTTTTATATCGATAACTACTCCCGATATTTTATTATCGATCAAAAACCTTATCGAAAGCTAGTTATTTAATTATATCTCCTACGCCTTTAGAGCTAGAGCTTGCAAATTTTTAATGTAGACTTATATTTATTTTATATCTCACCCTCACCTTTGTAAAAGGCGTATTTCAAGTACTAGAGACTTGTGCTTTGAAATGTGCATAAATTTTCACCATATGATTACGCCCTGAAAGTTTCATTAAGATTGTACGTCTAGAAATTAAATTATTCAACAAATATATTCTTATAATGTTGCACACACTACAGCGCAGCCCAAGCGCAGTCGCTGCTAACTGCGCGGTGTGTATGTATGTGTGTCGAAAAGAAGTGCTGACTGATTAGAATATCAGATTAGAGGGTTCAGGGTATCTCTTAGTCGAGCAGTCTCGACTAGTCTTCTTACTTGTTTTTGAAATTTTTTTTTTTTTTTTCGAAACAAGCTGTGCGAAAAAAAAAGTAAAAGAAAAATACTTTTCCTCATGTTGAGCATAATTAATATACATACATACATATGTGCATACAAAAGTTTACTTTTTTACTACCAAAATCAGGCAATTAGTTATCAATTTTCGCTAATAAATATTAACTGTCTTGCTTTTGTTATTAATTAAGCAGAAGTTGAAGAAGTTAACACAAAATCAAATAACATTTGATAACATTTCGTTTCGAGATTTACATTAGACGATTAGATAAATAAGCTTGATAATTTGCATATTCGTATATGAATTTGTCAACTCTCGAAAAATGTAAAGTTTCGCCATTTAAGCTATTGTTAAAACTGAAATCGAAACAAAAAACTATTTGGTAATAATAAATTCTTGTATTATTCACATGTCTGGAATTTTGTAGTGTTATCTGCAAAGCTAGCTAACAAAATTCTTCTATCAATAATAATCGATAACAATGACTTGATTTATATAGAGCTCTAACAAAAGTTGCCACACACTAGACCAATTTGATAGGAGTTGAAATAAAATACTCGTAGCACGTACAAATATATATATATATATATGGATATTTGTATATATGTATGTATGTCTGTCTATACCTATATATCACATACATATGCATGTACTGTTGTTTCTGTGTTTGTTTATTGTCAATTATTTTAATGCTTCGCATGACCCGCAAACTCAAACGTAGACAAAGGTAAATTCAGACATACATATATTATACACACACACACATACCTACTGCACCTTTTCAATTGTGCGAGAATGAGAATAACAAAAGCAACAAGTTGAAAATTGTAATACTCAACTAATAGATATCCTATAAAGGTTTTTTATTTATTTGTTAATTAAAAAAAAATTTTTAAATTTAATTATTTATCAATTTTAAACTTAAGGAAAAATTAAACATTTTTTGCAGTGTTGTTTTCTTTCTGATAATATATTAAAAACGAAATATCCTTTTTAATCTATTAACAACTTTGAATAAAAACTGAAAAATTGTTATTATAATATTATTAACCAA